CTTTTTCTTCTTCTCCTTGCCCACCCCATGCCAACCTGGGAGTGGGTCCCGCTTATCTGTGATTTCTCAACAGAAAATCCTTCCTATTGCTTCTCTGGTTGCCCTACCCCATCCCCCTCTTAGGCAACGGGGGGAAAGAAGCCTGTGGGTGTAGGAGGAAGGATTAGGGAGGTTTAACTCCCCGTGGGGAGCTTTGCCCAGGAGCTGGTAAGTCTGGTCCTAGAGTAGGCCTTATAGGGGAGGAGACTCACAAGCCCAGAATTTTAAGTACTGGATGTTATTCAGGTGTCATATGTACGTCTTTTCCCTCCTGGCAGAAGACAACCCTGCCCAGGAACCTTCGCCCATTTCCCTCGCCCGGGTCTGGTTACTCGGACTTGTATTAGAAGTGGGGTGAGCCTTGGGCCTACTGGCCTCGGACCTTCTGATTGCCTGCCCGGCGCCTCCCAACAGCTTAACTGGGAGTTCTTTGGCCAAGAGGACGGGATAACTGGGTTTAATTCCTGCCTTTCCTGGCCGTGGGGGGTACTGGAGCCGAGGCCACTGGGCACTAGTAAAGGCTCCTTTCTCTTTGACTCCGCCTTCCCTAAAGCAGCCCGGGCCAGAGACAGCCGGGCCCACGGAATTCAGCAGCAGTGTTTTCAGCGGTGGGAGGGGACGTGACCTATCTATCCCGCCCGCCCCCTCACCCAGGAGACACTCGTTAGAAGCAGATCCCTAATTCAGCAGTCACAGGACAAGGGGAAGGGAGGAAGTTCACCCTCTGGCGAAGCCGAGACGTGGGTTCGGTGGGGTGATAACAATATGAGGAGTAGGGTTTACGGGTAGAATTTATACAAAATGTATTAAGGCGGGGTATGGGGGAGAAGTACCCGTCCGCCACAGCGCGCATGTGCATCGGAAACTTTTCTCCGGTTCTTCTCTTCGACCCTCAGCCTGCTCCCCTTACCGAGCATGCGTAATTTAGCCTGCCGAGCCTTCGCAAAGCACGCTGGGAAGTGCAGTGTGCAAAGAAAGTAGGTCACTTGATCCAACTTGAACTTCAGGTGTCTGAAGACTACAATTCCCAGAGTGCAGAGTACACCTTCGCTGCCGGCCATCCCGCGTACGAGGGGGCTTCTGAGGAGCCTGGCGTGCCTTAGAAATAGGGCCCTCTTGGTCAGGGGGAAGGAGGTGGCGGCTTGTAGTCACACCCGGGCTTGCCCAGTCTGTTTTGGGGAGATGATGTGAGACTTTGGGCGGGGTGGTGCAGTCAGCCGGTATGAGTCCGGAAGGCGGTCAACCCACACCCGCCAGTCTGGGCCACCACCCCGGGGACCTGTGGGGTGCGGCTTGTCTCTCACTCCTCCGGCAGCGTCAGGGCATTTCTGTCTACCCGCTGGTTAGAATTAAGGAACTTCCTCTTATCCCTCAAACTCCTCTCAGCGTCAAGGCGATTGAGATGTTTCAGACCGGTATCTACATATTTTTATAGGACTGGTTTGGTGCCCAATAGAGTCACTCGCCACCAATCCTTTTTCCTTTATAACACAGTTGTGTTTCTTCTTTAAAACCTTCCTCCTTCTAGAAGTTCTCTCTGGAATTTGCATTGCCATGTCATTCATCGAAGCTTCTTCCCCGGCTTCATGTCTGCCCTCCTCCCATCTTGGTCAGTCCCCAGGCATTTATTCATTAAAACACAAGTCAACACAAGGGCTCCGATTCCAGGTTTAACTTTAGACTCCTGTTTATACTTAAGTTGCTAGAAGTAAACAAGTGAAGGAGATTCTTCATGATTCAACAGAATTTGCTATCATATTTGCAACTTTTTAATGTGCGACAAAAGGTATATTTTGTTGTTGTTAAATACCGCCCCTTCCCTCCCCCCCCTTTTTTTTTAAACTACCTTCCTAGTCTTTTGGCCATGAGTCAAGGCTGGAAACGATCTCAGAGGTCCTCTCCAGCCTGTTGACATGGAATCCACTTACTCCTTTTATTGAAGGGTAGGGATTGCTACGCATTCTGTTCTTGTCACATTTCATGAATATTTTATCTCTAAGCTCTAGGATTTGTCCATAGTCTCAAAAAGAATGAACAGACTCATCTGAATGGTCAGGCCTATCTTTAGCTGAAGGCAAGACTGCAAGAGCGCTTTAATCCTCTGTCTCATAAGCTTCTTGGAGTCGAAATTAGCGCCTGAGCTGATAGAGCAGAAATCTCATCCTGGTTCTCTGGCATTTTGGTCAAGTCCCGCCCCACAGCCATCTGGCCTGGCCTGTTGGCCAGTTACAGGGGCGAAGGTGGCGTTATGGACTTCCTTCTTGGTAGGGCAGTATCCCTGAGGTATAAATTAGTGTGCAGCTTTAGTTGCTTATGCTGCAGGAAGCGGTTGGCTGGGCAGGGCCCGTGACAGTGGCTCTATTGTATTTGGGGGTGGAAGGCTTATTTCCTAATGGCTCTGGCCTGCATTTAAAAGGCTCCCATTTGAAGGACTGAGCTGTTGGGGGGGGTTGTAACTTGGAAGGCAATCACATGGCAAAGTTTGAGGTGCCCTAGAAAGGCATTGAAGCCCTTTGGTCTGGGTGCCATACCAGGAGGCACATTTTAAGAGGCCCTGTGGTAGCAGGCGGGGTGTCCTAGGTTGAGTCTGAGTGTGTTTTGCTTTTCAAGAACACTTTGAATACACTGTTTTTAACTCCAGCCTTATTCTTGGGAAGCGTTGCCAACCTTCTTGACAGCGCTTTAGACTCTGCTGTCGGACACCTCTAGTGGACAGCTGGTGCCCTTTGGAACCTCCCATCTTGAGAGGAGGCTTGCTGTCCTGGTAGCTAGCTTTCATCTGGCAGTGAACCCAGTCCTCATCAACAGAGAGCCTTTCCTGTTCTTCCCACCGATCTTCTCTTCAAACCGTGAAGGACCTTGGTATGGATATTTGATGAGAATAGACATTTGAAGAAACTTGGATATGAAGTCTGTGATGGAGGCTAGGGGAAGGGGCTTCCTGAGTCCTGAGCATGGTGTGGAGGGCCTGAGAGAGGGCCATGGTTGGGGCACCTCTCCTGCCTCCCCATGTGACCCTGTTTCCTCATAATTGATATGGGGGTTAATTGATATTGGACCACGTCCAATCACTGATTTTGCTTTTAGCTTTACCTCCTCCAGATTCAAGTAGCTCTGGTCACACAGCAGGCATTCAGCTGCTAACCAGAAGGTTGGCAGTTCAAACCTACCAGCCACTCTACTGGAGAAAGATGAGGTAGTCTGCTTCCGTGAAGATTGACAGTCTCAAGAACCCTGTGGGGCAGTTCCACTCTGTCCTCTACAGGTGCTGAGTCTGAATCGATTGGACAGCAGTGGGTTACTATCCTCCAGATTCACCTGATGCATCTTCTCTGATACTTTTCATCCTGGCATCTTTTTCTGAGGATTTACTCCTAAAAATGTCCCCAGGAGCCACGGCCCCATGCCTGAGAATTATGAGAAATGGTTTGGGGCAGAAAACTCGAGATCCGCAAGTCTCAAATACTCTACACACACAAGACCCAACGGCAATTTGCATCAACACCAGCCTGAGCCTTTTCACAGGACAAGTGCCCTCGACTGATCCTGGATCAGCCTCATGTCATGCAGCACAGCCGTGCCCAGAGACTTGGCCAGGAACATGTTCTGGGCCTGCCTCCCCTCAGAGGCAGCCTCTTTTGGCTCAGTTTCTCCCTGAGTGTGAGCCTGGGAGCCGCCCTTTTGGAGACTGAGAACATGAGGCTCACTGGCACTGGGAACCTCGCAGATCATCTTCCCGAGCCAGCCTGGCCCAGACCTAGAGAGTCAACCTTTCCAACCTCAGCGGGATCTGGCTGCAAGAGAGTCCCAAAATAACAATCTGAGTATTTACCACAGGCTGCCTGCTCCCCAGGGATCTCCAAACACTTGAGCAAGCTGAGCCCGTACCAAGGACAGGTAGGCGGTCGAACAGGCCCAGGAGACAGAGCGATGATGGGTCCCCAGCTGGAGGCAACAGGGTGGTGGAAAATTTCTTCCCTCTGCCACCCTCAGCACATACACTCTCACCAGAAACTAGAGAGCCCCTCAGGCCATCCTAGAGCTGTTGCAGACACTGTTGGCCTACACAGCCTGCTGCACCTCCTCTCCTCTGCTTCTCTTGAGAAGCCCAGGCCCCTTTGGCCCACATCTCTGGTTCCAACAGATCTTAACTTCTTCCTAGGGACCATGCTCTTGTCTTCATTCTCGAAGGTTCATTAGATGGAAATGCAAGCCTTGGTTACTCTGGAGTTCCTAATGAGTTCTGCAACCCAGGCTGGGTAAGAGGGCATACATACCCACAGAGCCCAGAAGGACAAATTACAAGTGACTCAAGTCCAAGCCCCCAGTGAAAATTTGCCAGTGCTACTTCCTATTCAATGACCTGTTTCCTTTTCCATCTAAGGAAGAAGACTACAGATTTTAAACTGATCTCTGGGCCTGGGCGTGTGACAGTTTGGGGGCACAACTCCACCAAGTCATTGCAGAGACAGCAAGAGCTTTCACTTTTACAGCTGAATTAGGGAGTTGAGTGTGTGTGTGTGTGTGTGTGTGATTTGCACAGTGACCTGAATTCTCAAAATGGTGAGAACTACAGTACCCCTTTTTCCTTACAATTACCTAATAATAGAGCTAATTTTATCAAGTTCCTACTACATGCCAGGCACAGCGTGATACAGTTTATATCCTTGAGCAAACTTAATCTTCGTGATGGCCTATTTTCCAGATGCAGAAACTAAGGCTCAAAAAAAAAAAAAAGAGCTTGCCCATAGTTGCACTACTATGCTTGTCACTGGTGGAGCAGAAACAAGGTCTGCAGGATCCGAAGTTGGTTCTGTTCTCTCGGTCCTTTGTTGGTAGTCATTTCTGCGTGTTGCCAGTTCTCTGCATATCTACTCATGGTGCCTCTATTCTTTCTCATTTCCCAGACTCTCTGGAGCCCAAAACTGCCCACCTGACATCTCCCACCGCCAGGGGCCTGTGCACGTGTCCTGTGCTGATTCATTGCCTAGGACGAGACCATGCAGCTGGAGATCAAAGTGGCCCTGAACTTCATCATCTCTTATCTATATAACAAGCTGCCCCGGCGCCGGGCAGACCTGTTCGGGGAAGAGCTAGAGCGACTCTTGAAAAAGAAGTATGAAGGCCACTGGTACCCTGACAAGCCACTGAAGGGCTCTGGCTTCCGTTGTGTCCACATTGGGGAGACGGTGGACCCCGTGGTGGAACTGGCTGCCAAGCGGAGTGGCCTGGCCGTGGAGGATGTGCGGGCCAACGTGCCTGAGGAGCTGAGCGTCTGGATAGACCCTTTCGAGGTGTCCTACCAGATTGGGGAGAAGGGGGCTGTGAAAGTGCTGTACCTGGATGACAGCGAGGGCTGCGGGGCCCCTGAGCTGGACAAGGAGATCAAGAGCAGCTTCAACCCCGACGCCCAGGTTTTCGTGCCCATCGGCAGCCAGGACAGCTCCCTGTCCAACTCCCCGTCACCATCCTTCGGCCAGTCACCCAGCCCCACCTTCATCCCTCGCTCTGCCCAGCCCATCACCTTCACCACCGCCTCCTTTGCTGCCACCAAGTTTGGCTCCACCAAGATGAAGAAGGGCGGTGGGGCAGCGAGTGGAGGGGGTGTGGCCAGCAGCGGGGGGAGTGGCCAGCAGCCACCGCAGCAGCCCCGCCTGGCCCGCTCCCCCACCAACAGCCTGCTGAAGCCCAAGAGCCTCTCTTTATCTGTGCATTCTCTGAACTTCATCACGCCCAACCCAGCCCCACAATCCCAGCTCTCGCCCAACGCCAAGGAGTTTGTGTACAACGGCAGTGGGTCACCCAGCCTCTTCTTTGATGGGGCTGATGGCCAAGGGAGTGGCACCCCCATCCCTTTTGGGGGCAGCAGTGGGGCCAGCACCTGCAGCAGCAGCACCTTTGACGTGGCCCAGGTATTCGGGGGTGGCGGCAACAGCCTCTTCCTGGAGAAGACACCCTTCGTGGACGGCCTCAGCTACAACCTGCACACCATGCAGTATCCTAGCCAGCCCTTCCAGCCAGTCGTTCTGGCCAACTGACCAGTGATCCAGCCCCGGGGCCAGGAGCCCGAGACCATGGAAAATAGGAAAGAAAGGAAAGGCCACAAAAAGAGGAAAAGAAAAATACACCAGAAGATCTCCAGTCTTCTCACTCCCACTTCTAGGACAAAGATCCTGCCCAGGCACGGAGTGGGAGGGGTTCCCGAAGCACCGAATCGCTTTCTGACTCTGCCCCCTGCTCTCTTCCTGCCTGTCTGATTTAGTTGGTTGGTTTGGGTTTTATTTTTTTTTAATTTTTCAATTTTTTTTTAACATGTAGTTTTCTACATGACATCTTTAATTAGTGGCTTCCTGTGCTAAGAACGGTCCAGATGTTGAATTGCTGCTCCCGGCTTCCTCTCCCTCTTCCACATGCCTGGTTTAGGATTGGTGTGTCCAGGCTCCCAGGGAAGAGCTGCAGCTGGGCCTGCCCCTCCCCAGAGCAGGGAGAGGCTGGCCCTGTGTCCCTGCCTCTGTACCCTCTCACTCTAAGCCATCCAACCTCAGCAGGCCTTCTCCGGCCCTGCCATCCCAGTAGGTCTGTCCCCCACTCCCACTCTCTCTCAGGTCTGGGACACTTGACACCCTCTCCCTAGAGCTGATACCTGTGACTGCAAGGGGTCCCACTCTGTCTAGCTGAACTCCTTTCATCTCTGTCCTGTGGCGCCACCTGACCGCCATCCACATCTGGCACAGACCGTCATTCGTGGCCCTGGAGAGAGCCAGACCCAGCCATCTCTCCTTGTGGTCTCTCCTTGAGTATCTCTTCCCAGGGTCTGAGGTGGAGGGTGGGTGGGTGGGGGGTACGCATGGTGGTGTGTGGTTCACTGCCCTGTTTGAGAAGCTTCCAAGCCATGTGAGAATTGAGATTTTGAGTTGTAGCAAGTGCTTCTTCCTCTGAGGCTGGGGGCGGGCTGAGGTCCTCTGCAGGTTGCCACACTGTGTGGTGGGACTGGCCGAGCCCGAGACACTGCAGGGGAATGCCTGCAGGAGGAGCTGGTTTCCATACTCAGAGGGATCTGCACTTTGGTGTTTTTGACCAAAAAAGGACAGTTTTGTGGGGCTGCGGGAATACCCCAGTCACTGATGCCTGAGAGAAGTCCCCAGAGCTAGCCCCTCCCGTTGGATGTCGTGAGCCCAGGGTGGGAACCGCTTGCCTGAGCACCATGGGGTGGGGGTGAGGGGGTGCTGGTCAGTGCCTGCGGTGGCCATCCTGAGCCTTGAAGTGAGCCTTGAGGGTCCTTAGCTTATAGTTCTGGTTAGTCCGTTCGTGCCCCTGCCTGATCAGGAACTTCTTGGTAGTCTTGCCATCCCCTCTCACTGCCCTGACCTAGTCCCTGGGGGTCTTGGTGTTGTGGGGAGAGGGCTCCTGGACAGGTGCCTGACCATCCCACATGGTCAGTTTGGCTTCTAAAGGGGTACCCTCTTCCTTCCTCTGCCAGAAGAGAAGTGGCTGCTTCCACCCTAGTGGGTCACCTTCCACGCCACGATGCTTTGGCATGTGGGCCACGTGGCCTCAGGGCCCCACCACCACCACCAAAGGTACCAAAGCCCCTGGCCTCCCACCCCAACCTTTCCTCCCCAGCAAGCCCAAGTGGGCTACTGCTGTGGCAGTGGGCCCAGCCTGGATATTCCCAGCCGCCTCTCCCGTGACGGGCACCAGCTCTCCTTCCCCCAGCGGGGCGAGGCCCTGGCTTCTTGGTGCCCCATACCAGCTGTCCCCTAGACTTGTCAGGGCCCAGCTCAGTCTGCGCCCCCTTTCCCGCGTCCTCAGCTCCTGTGCAGATAACAGGCCCAGGTAGACAGCAGCTCTCCGGGGAAGGTTGAATGCTGCCTTAGCCCCACTCCCAACTCATGCACATAGGTCCCCCCACGCCCAGGTCTCTCGTTTTTCACCATGTACAGGGAGAGGGGAGCTCACCCCCTCAGTGTCTTTTGAGGAAAATGTGTGTCAGGAGCGTGACTTCAGGGCTGGGGTCTTGGGCCCAGTTAAGTCTGTCTCGTCTCAAATCTAGGCATTTTTGCTTCAATTTTTTTTTTTTTTTTTTTAAGAGAAGATAAACAAGCCTGCACTAATTTACCTGGTTTCGTAGGAAGACTTTTTTCTCTCTCTTTTTTTTCTTTTTTTTTTTTTACTTTTTACATTGTTTGGTGTCCGTTTGTATTGAATAATTTGCTACATTTGTAAAATGTAAGAGGTATATAATATATGTATATTTCTAACGTAAAAAAAATAATTTTTTTCTTTTCAAGATTTTTTCTTAAGAGGAGAGAAAGATATTTTTTCAGGAAAACAAACTTTAAAATAAAAAAAAGAATAACACCTTCCTTCTCCCCTTCAGCCCTCCTTCCTCTCTCTATCTCCCCCTCTTTCCCAGGAACAAATCAAAAGGTGGATTGTCTTGTGAAGAGTGTCAACTTTTAGTCCAGGATGGTGTCTCTTTCTCAATGCAGTGAGCTCTACATTGTTGGGTTTTCTCCCTAGCGAGGGACGGGAAGGGGGGCATTGAGGTGAACGTGGAGAGGAGCTTGGGGAGCACGTGATGAACTTTTCTTTAGTGAAGGAAGAATACAGTCGAGCGCTTTGTATTCCGAATGCTGTGCAATATTTTGGAATTTGGGACATTGGTGTGTTTAGAAATTTAGTTTAAAAACAGAACAAAAAGATCGATCAAATCTGTACAGTTTATATTGTTCCAGATTTTTTTAAGTTTGTATTAAAAGCATGATGTAATAGCCTGTGTGTGAGCCCTGCTTGTTTCCTTCCTAGGGCACCTGTTGGGACGGAGGGCGGAGAGAGTGGCCCAGCCCCTGCCCCCTGCAGGAGGCAGCTGGCCAACCTCAGCATGATTAACCCCAGGACAGGCACAGTGCCCATGGGCCCTTCCTGACCACCTGTTCCCTCAACACAGGACCCCTTAGTGTGCCCACTCATGTCCTGCTCCTCATTGGACACGGGCTCCACAAGTTGGGAACTGCCCCCAGCCCTGGAAGCAGATCTTGAGAACAGGGATGCCTCTCGTGAGTAGGTCGAGACTACACTCCAGCCTGCTCCCGATGCTGCCTACCCCATGCTACGAGCCCCTTAGAAGCAGGTAGGTGAAGAGCCTACCTGAGCCAGGGTCTGCCCCCAAACTTGGCGCGTGGACGCTCAGTGCTTTTCTTGGGCCCAGCAATTGCAGAGCTGCTTTAGGGATGAGCCAGCAGGCCTGACCCCAGGGCGGAAGAGGACTCCACCTGCTCCTCCCTGCTCCTCTCACCAGGGCTCCAGCAAAACTCAGCCGAGGGTGGGGTGGGGGCTCAAAGACCCCTCCACCCTGTGTTTGGCCAAAGCCCAGGGCAGAAAAGGACCCTGCACCTGTCCCAGCCACCCCATCCCTCCCCCAGGCCCAGGGGCACTTTGTCCTTGCCAAGTGCAAGCTCCTGTTAATGCCCATGAAGGAGGGAAACGGTGTGAGCATCTGCTCTACCAGTGCCACTGGTGCTGCTTCACACTTGAGCCCGGCAGGGCCCCTGCAGGGGAGAGGACAGCTAAGTGTCTATTTCTCCCTCGCGACACTCTGGCGATGAAAGGTACACCCCGGTCGTCCATGGCAGAGGCAGAAAGGACGCATTCATGCCTCCATTTCTTTACCAAACACTGGATGTGAACAGGTGGGATGGGTGGGCTGTCTGGGGCCCTTGCCTTGCAGCAGAGGGAGAAAGAACATTCTGGTAGAACTAAAAATGGCTCATTTATTCACTTGACAGCACCCTCCCCTCCCATGAGTACCTACTCTCTGCCCAGGGAACACAGTTGGGGAAACAGTTCCGGGCCAGGTATGCACAGGGGGCCTGAGAGCCCAGAGATCAGGGAGGACTTCCTGGAGGAGGTGAAATACAAGTTCATCAGAAAGGAAAAATGCAGGAGTAAGGCTTTTCCCCAGGGAAACCACCTCAGGAGGGCAACCTATCACAGGAAGAACCTGGACTTAGAAGCCACAGATTCTAATCCCACCCCTGCCACTCCCTAGTGGTGGCCTAGAGCAAACCGCCTACCCTGGTGCCTAAGTTCCCTCCCCTCTGAAATGAGGATAATTGTACCTGCTTATGAAATTTAAATCATGGGTGGAAAATGCCATGCACGGTGGCTGGCAAGTACCACTTTTATCGTCATGGTCATTATTACCCATCCTCGGATGCCCCCAGCCAGCCCAGTCCAGTCTATTCCCTTTCTCAGCAAACAGGCAACACCCTGCTCCACCAGCCAGAGAACCAGGTCAGGCGGAGAGGGGAACTCCTGTTGGGTGGAGACAGGGCTGACCCCACCCGCCCAAAGTGGGAAGCATCATCTTCCAGCAAGTCATTGTCCTGTGAAGCGGACTGAATCCCACGACTCCCCTCTCCAGGGACCCAGCCTTTGGCCTTAGGCTGTGCTAGGCTCTCACTGTGAGTTCTGGAATCTCCTGGGAGTTTCCTCCTGGAGAGGCAGGTGGGTGGCTCCCTGAGTCATGGGCTGGAAGAACCCTGTTCCTCTTGTCACTGCCGTCTGAGTCAATGCCAAGGGAGGGGATGCTGCTGTCTGGTCCACCACTGTCACACCCCCTGAGTTGGGGTGGAGAGCCACATTCCTGCCTTCCTGCAGGCATGGCCAGTTTGGCCAAGTCCTGCCCAGGCAGGGACCACAGACAGGCCGGGACCAGTCAGGAGGTTCCCCAGCCCAGGCACTATGAACCTCCTGGTCCTCTGGCTTTTAATTTGGGGAATTTCACTGCCAACAGGAGAGGTGGGTTCCCAGTTTTCACAGTGGTGACTCACTGTGTAACCTTGAACACCTCTCCCTCTCTTGACATCTGTCCCACTTAGACAATGAGGGGCAGGGAGCCAGGCTCCTGTCCAGCTGGGCTATCCAGGCTATTCCATATGCCAAATCCTCCTCCTGCCCCACTGTCTCCCAAGCCCTGGGAAGCCCTAAGAGGACCCCCTGCCCAGACAGGAAAGAGGAGTCAGCAGGGCTGTAGGCAAGCTCACTTGGCGACCCAGCCGGGATTGCCCTGAGGCACAGGGTCTGGTCAAAAGGCTCCTG